AAAAAAAAAAAAAAAAATTTGTCTGATATAGTTGGATGCTCCTGCATTTGGTTCATGGATGTTTATGATTGTTGTCTGTTCCTCTTGAAGTTTTCCCTCACAAGTATGTAGTGACCTTCTTTATCTCTTTTAATTGTTCTTGGTTTGAAGTTCCTATTGTCTGCAAACAGAATAGCGACACCCGCTTTTTTTCTGGGTACATATCACATGGAGTATTGTTTTCCATCCTTTGATTTTTAGTCTGTGAATTTCCTTTTGAGTTAAATGTGTTTCCTGTATATAGCATATTGTTGAATTTTGTTTCTTGACCCAATCTGCCAGTCTTCTTCTTTTGGTTGGTGAATTGAAACTCTTCACATTGATGGTTATAATTGATATGTATTAGCTCATCTTTGTCATGTTGTTTTCCTGCTGTTGGTAGCTCTTGTTTCCCTCTGTTGAATTGATTGCTCTGATTGGTGGTTCCTTTCTGTTGTTGTTCTTGATGTTGTGGTCTTACTTACCTCTTTCTAGAATATCTTTTAGTACTCTTTATAGGGTTGGCTTGGCACTAATGAAGTTCTTCAGTTGATCTTTGTCATAGAGATATTTTATTTCTCCATTAATTTTGAAGGATAGTAATTTTCTGCTATCACTTCTGGAAATAGTCTTTTTATTTCATTTGTGCTGACAACTGCTGTTTCACTGATATCTATTAATCTTACATTATTTTTCTTGGCTTCATCTTGCAGCTGCTGAATTGTTATTTCTTAGTTTCTTGTTATTTTTAAGAGATCCTTTCACAGTCATACACAGCAATGCTGTCTTCAAGGTCTGAAAGTCTATCTTCAGCATTGTTCAAGTAGTTTTGCCAGCTTTCAATGGAAGTTTTAATTTCCTAATTTAATCTGTTTGAATCTGTTTCATGCATTCTAGTTCTTTCCTATATTGTTCATTCAAGGTTTCCATTAATTTTCTATGCTCTTCTATTTTCTTTTCTGGGTCTTCTTTAGATGTGTGAAGCAATTCTTTCATTATTGCTGCCATTTCTTGTTTTTACCTCAGATTATTTCTGATCTGATGTCTTCTATGGCCTGATGGAATTGTTTCCTTACTTCAGCTGCTATCATTTCAGAAATCTCAGGTGTACGACTTCCAAGCTCTTCTCTGTTGCTACCTCCTGGACTTGATCTGGGTAGGGTGGAGGTCTGTGATTGCATTTTGCCCTTCGTTTTGCCATTTTCAGAGATCCAGAGGTTCCCTGGAGCTCAGCCTTACTCCCAGGATGATGTCAAAGTGGCAGGGCAAGGATTCAAAGGTCCCCAGTACTCAGTGTGGCTCCCTTAATGGTGTGTGTGGGTGGGCTGTGAGCTCCAATGTTCTCACAGCTGTCTGGGGCTCAGCTTACCTCCCACTCAGGGGTTTCCAAAACTGTCCAGGTTTCAGCCCTGTTTCCTCTGGGGTGTAGCAGTGAGCAAGTAGTGATCACTGAAGCTCCAGACACCACTTGGGACCCAGCCTGGTTCCCACTCCAGTGGGTGGGGAGTGAGCATGCAGTCACTGAGGCCACTGAAGCTATCTGAGGTTCAGCTTAGCTTCCCTGAGGGTGTGGGATGGGGGCAGGGAGTGGCACCCAAGACTCTTAAAGTTGTCTGGGTCTAGGCCTGGTTCCCAATCTGGTGGGACAGAAGTGGGGCTGGTTCACAGATGTTTCCAAAGCTGTTCAAGGTTCAGCTCAACTCCAATGGGGGCAAAGGTGCAGGAAGTGGCCCCCAAGCCCCTGAAGCTGTCCAGGGTTCTGCCTGGCCCCAAAGCTTATGGGGGAGGGGCTGTGGTGGCTCACTAGTGTTCCTAAAGCTGATGGAGGTTCAGTTCCCTATTCTCTATTTTGAAATCTTTTTCCCCTTCCTTCCGTATGCCCTCACATGTTCTCTTTCCCATTTGAACATGTTCTCCCTACTTCCCATTGTATATCCTCTGTTTTGGCCCTTATTTACACTATCTCACACAAGAGAAGCAATGCAGTATTTAAACTTGTGTGTCTGACTCATTTAACATTATGGTCTCAAAGTGCATCCATTTACCTAAAAATGACAAGTTAATCCTTCTTTATGGCAGAGTAATACACCATTGGATATAAATACCACATTTTCTTTATCCATTAATTTGTTGATGGGCATATGGGCTGTTTTCAAGATTTAGCTATTATAAATTGTACTACTGGAAACATAGATATGCATATATCACTGTGATATGATGCCTTTAACTCTTTTAGGAAGATACATAGAAAGGGCACACCTGGATCAAATGGAACCTCTAATTTTAGTTTTTTGAGGAATCTCCATACTGATTTCCATATTGGTTATACAAATTTACACTCCCACCGGCAATGCGAAAGGGCTCCTTTTTCCCCACAGCCTCATCAGGATTCATTATTCATTTATTTCTTGATCATAGCTATTTCTGGAGTGAAATAGAATCTCAGTGTTGTTTTTATTTGCATTCTTTAATACCATTTTCCCCGTCCCAATCCACAGATAACCACATCCACAGATAACCAGGCAGAGCCCTCCTTTCCATTTGACAATGTTGATCCAAAGGTTTGGGATACCTCACAACCCACGGTGGCTCTACATCATCATCCTATTATCGTGACTACCCAGGACCCCTCCAGTTTGGTTTTC